CATCGCTTGATCAACTCAAGGGTAACGCGCCCATGTACCGGGAGGAGAAAAAGGTCAGATTCATCCAATTTGGTTTTCAGCATTTCATCTACTTCACAAATAGCAAAAGGTTCATGCAGAGCACAAAAATTAGTTTTTTTGCTGCAAAAAAATCATCTTTTTAGTCTCGCAACTAAACATGCACTTATTTCCTCCTGCTTATGTTGCTTCTTGCTCGTCTGAATCTTCTGTCGACACAGAAAAACTCGACTTTTCAGACTGAAGAAGCGATGCCGGGTTTGGGAGGAAGAGATGAAGATGGTGAACAAAAAGCTCTACTTTGAGAACAAATGGATAATGGAGGAGAACAAGAGGCTAAGGGAGAGAGCAGTATTGCTCAGCCAAGAGAAAAAAGTTCTCCTTTCTCATCTTCATACCGCTTGGAAATCCTGCAACTTTTCTCCCCTTCTTTAAGCTCTTTGTTTCTCTGTTTCAGTTTTTTTTTTCTCCTTCAGATTATGTGCTGAATAAAAGACCTTTTTTTTATAGCAGTATCAACTTTGGTTCTGCTTCCTTCATGCGTTCCAAAAATTACAGTTTGGCGTACAGAAATGTTACCTGATTGTAAATATTTCAAGCGTTAGTTTGAACACGTGTGGCTCTGTTGGAATTGCCTAAAGCTCTTAAAATCGCTTTTTTTTTAAAATATTTTTTTTATATAATAAATTGTTATTTATTTGCTTAAAGGAGCATTTATGTTATTTCATTTCGATGAAAGATTGTATAAATCAGCAAAATTATAGTTTTTTTCAGAAATATTTTGATTTTTGGTGTGACATGCTCTCTATTCTTCATCTAATAAAATAACTATAATTTTGAGAGAGAGTTATAAAATGAGTGATTTATCATGTTATCGTGCTTATTATCACACCACTATTTTAGAAGGTTGTTTACTCCGCAACACAGAACATGATGAAATGAACTACACCTATTTGGTATTCTCAGAAAAGAAAAAGAATATGCACGTAATAACATAAAAAATAATCTTTTTAACACTAATACACAATATACAAGTGAAGCAGATAGATAGATAGATAGATAGATAGATAGATAGATAGATAGATATATATATATATATATATA